AGAGATCCACCCTTTAAACTCATTTTGCCATTAGCTGAAATGAGGGGGAAAAAAACCCCTGCAAATATATGTATTTTTCAGGCTCATCAGTTCAGATGGCAGTGATAACAAACTGCAACTGCTTTAGGCAGCTCATCTGTTAGGGGAACTGCTGATTTGATGGCATCTGCATTTACTTTAGGCTTCTGTATTCTTTGAAAGCACTGCTCTCAGTCTAGTCAGAGCCTTTCCTTAACAAAATGAATGGAAGTGGCAGAATCCTAGAAAGGTCTAGGTCAGAAGGGACCTTAAAGATTATCTAGTTCCAACCTCTGCCTTGAGCAGGAGCACCTTCCAGGAGACCTAAGTTGCCCAGAACTCCATCCAGCCTGGCCTCAAATGCCTCCAGGCACAGGGCATCCTCAGCTTCTCTGGGCAACCTGTGCCAGGGCCTCACCACCCTCATTGTTAAAAACTTCAACTTTATATCTAGTCTAATTTGAACCTCTTTTTGTTTAAAACTGTTACTATTTCTCCTGTTGCACAGGCTCTGCTAAAAAGTCTTTCCCATGTAGCCCATTTAGGTACTGGGAGGGGCCCAAATGTGTGCCCAAAGCCTTCTCCAGGCTGAATCACCCCCGAGTCTCTCAGCTTGTATTCAGAGCAGAGCTGTTCCAGGCCTCTGGTCACCTTCATGACCCTCTGAACAAACTTGAACAAACTTGTCCTTCATAGGGCGGGAACTTGTGGTTTAACTCCAGGTAGGAACACCAGATAGCTGCTCATTCACTCAGTCCCCTCTTCCCCCTCCACCATCCCAGTGGTGATGGGAATCAGGGGAAACAAAAATGATGGGTTGATACAAGAATAGTTTAATAATTGAAAGATAATAGAGTACAATAAACAATTGTAACAAAAAGGAGCGAGAGAGATGAAATCAGAGAGGAACAGGAGCTGCACAATACAATTGCTCAATACACTGACCAATGCCCTGCACATCCCTAGGCAGTGTTTGGCATCTCTCTGCTAGCTCCTCAGTTTATATACTGGGTGTGATGTGCCATGGTGTGGAATATCCCTTTGGCCAGTCCAGGTCAGTTGTCCTGTCCGTGATTCCTTCTGGTTTTGGTGCACCTGCTCCCTGCCAGAGCAGGGGAACTCAAACGTTCCTTGATTGAGAGCAAGAGCTGTTTAGCAACAACTAAATATCGGTGTGTTATCAGCATTATTCTCATCCTAAATCCAAAGCACAGCACTGTGCCAGCTGCAGAGAAGAAAATTTACCTCTATCCCAGCTGAAATCAGGCCAGATTTCCAGAGCTGGTTGTAGTACACCAGGTGGAGTCTCAAGAGAGTGGAGTAGAGGGGCAGAATCACCTCCCTTAACCTGCTGGCTGTGTTTCCTTTGATGCAGCCCAGCATATGATTGGCTTTCTGGGTCTAAGAAAGATGCATGTCAGATGTGTGCTTCAAATGTGCAAATACTTGGTGAAGCAGTACCTTATTAATTCACCTTTCATGGATTAGTGAGAAGCTCTAATTTAAGCATTCTGACTGAACTTTTTGATTTGAGAGGAGTATATTTTGATCTCTTACCTATTACCTGGTCCGCTCAATTAGGTGATGTTTCTGTATTGTACGCTGGAGTGTGACTGGTAAAAGTATGAACTTGTTTTTAACTTGGTGAATTAGAAGACTTGGGAGGTTTTCCAACAGTCTCCGCAGGAGCCAAATTCTCCCAAAACATATTGAGCTTCTTCTGGCTCCTCTGTTGTGTTGCTCCATCTTGTTCTGTGCACCTGAACTGGGGGGGGAGGTGGGGGTGGTGACTGTGACATCATTTGGTTCCACGGTTGTCGGGGCCAGTCTGCAGTTGCTGCAACCTGAGGAGCTGCTCATGCCCTGCTTCAGCAGGGCTGGAGGAGACAGCAAAATAAGTAAGTAATGGTGAGAATAAGAATTTTCTCTTTTATCTTGTTTTCCTTCTCCCTTGTTTTCTCAATTTGTCATGAATGATATTAAAGTTTTAAGTGTCTTGGAAAACATGATTCCTGTCCTCTTAAGAAATCTCACGTTACCAAAGTAGTTTCTTCATGGGACAGAACATGTTTTTATATTCCTCTATAGCAGAGGCACTTCCAAGGGCAGGGAAGTTTTCCTCACTGAGCAGGTGTGCAGAAAGAGCTGACCCTTCAAAGGGCAATATCAATGTGAAATGCAGTCAGTCTTCAGCACTTCAGAAAATGGGGTTTCCCCTTCCCAGTACTAGCAAATTGTCTCTAGGTTTAAGCTGTCTTTATAACTAAGTGGTAATAATTGAAAAAAGGCCTTTTTAGTGTAAAACAGGAGGGCAGGCAAAGTGAAATAAAACATCTGGCAAAGCAGTCATCAGGGGCTTCTTGGGGGTACAAAACGCAATTTAAACCTGCTGTTAATTACTCTGAATTACATGGGGATTTCTAAAAGTATTTTTGTCCATAATACCATTTTGAACCACCTTTTAAAAACGTTATCCAAAGCTCTTCATGTGCTCCAATTGTGAAAAGAGTGAAGAATTCAATGAGCTAAACTGGATTTCCATTTTTGAGCTTTCAAAAATTATTCATTCTTTAATCTTGATTCTGTTCATTGAAATTGGATTAAAATTTTTAGCTGAAAATTATCTTTTTAAGTGCCAGGTGTCCAGCTCTGGGACAGCTCTTAGCAGAAAGATAATTTTTTGGCTAGTCTCTGTTAACAAGATGCCTTCGTTTAAACTCCATTTAAAGGAGTAATTTTTCAAAATCATTTGTTGCCAATATATATACATATATTTTCAATGGCTTTTGGCCTCTTTCATGCAGAAAAGGTATTCCTGATCTGTGCAGCAATCAACTGTCAGGTTTGCTCTAATCCACAAATACGAAGTTAAGACCAATAATTTGTTTTATGCAGGACCCAATACCTATTGTTGCTCTTGGTTTTATTGCAGTAATGCTGCCCTTCAGCACCTGTCGAGTGTGGTTCTTCATGATCCTGCTCCTGCTTTGTAGCATCCATTCACGTGAGTATTGCAAGGACAAAAATATTCTCAAAGAAGCAGCAAGTATTTTACTAGCAAGCAGGTTTTCTTGTCTCGGAAATGGTTGGAAAATACTGAGAAATATTACAAGCAATTACTTCAGATTGAATTGATTCATTCTGAGATTTAAATAGAGCAAATTTTTTTTTCCTGCAACTACAGTTCCCATTTCCCTCTGTGCATCTGTACAAGAAATACATGCTGCTTGTTTCATCCCTGTCAGTGCAACTTGCATTTATTTCACAGTTGATCATCGATTTTTTCTTTTTTCCCCCTCAATTATAGATTTTTCTATTTTTTTCCCCCACTTCGACTTTTTTTCAGCATCCTAGTAAAGTTATTCTTACAGTCAGTTGGGAATTGATGTATTTGCTTATTACAGCAGATGACTCAAAGTAATTAGAAAGGTTTTTGTCTGATTACTTGCACTATCACAAGTTAAGTTTGGTCATCTGACATGTATAAAGGATCCATCCAAACATGTTTGCATTTGATCCTTAATGAATTGGGAAACCAGAGCCTTTTCAACTCTTGGTGAAAGGCTGGCAGTTGTTGCGTCGTAAAAGGCTTCCAGAGTGCATGTGAGCTCTAACATAGATACGAGTTTGTAAGTACAGCAATGGCCATTAAACCTTTGTAAATGCCTTGTGTATCTTTAAACCCTCACGAGAGAGTAATGTGTAGGGCAGCCCTGGTTTTCAAATAATTCTTACCAAACTGAATGTTGGAAACCTCATCTCATGAACTTCCCATTAAATCATTACAAAGTCTTTAAAATTTTCTGTTGTGTCTTGTTTACTAGCAGGGAGAGGGACCCCATGACAAAACTGTCAGTGTGAACTTTGGTGGTCACATTTCTGTTAAGACAATAGTTTCAGATTATCTGTTTTGACAGTACCTTCAGTTCTTTCTACTCTGTTCTTTTTCTTCCCAAGGGAGTTTTGTATGGCACAGAAGAGGCAAGTTGTGCCCAAGGACAAGTAATTTCCTAATTCCCTAATTTATGCTCCCAGTGCTGTTAGCTGAAGAATTGTCCAAAAGACTGAAGATTGTTCAATGCCTTCATTTTTTATTAGGTTGTGATCTCACTTCTGTTCACAAAGACTCTAACACCATGAAATGGTTTTCAGCAAACTCCATCATTGAAAGCTATTAAAGTAGTTATGGTGTAAGTTTCTCTCATGGAGGGAAAAAAGGCAAGCAGGTGGGAATACTGAGTCTCTTTTTTTTCCCCCCTCACTGGGGCATGGTTGATTGCCTGTGGAGTTGTACTGTGATTTGCACTTTTGATGTAATGAAAAACAGATGTAAGGAGGCAGCGATGTTTACTGATGCCATATTTTTTTTAGAATAGTGTAAATGAAAGGTGATTGGGAAGTCCCAGAGTAAGAAATCAGTAGCTTTTGTGTAAACAATGCAGTACCTCTATATTTAGGGATGTTTTGCTCTTTTCCATGCAACTGCAGCAGGTCCCTATCTGAAATAAGAAGCTGGAATAGATGCATACTTGGTTGTGTTTGATAAAGGTGCCTTTCACCATGTTTCTGTGTTTTAAGTGGGGTCTGATCTTTATCTAAAAAGCTGAAAGTTCTGCTTGTGTGCATAGGAGAAATGTAATTATAGATGCAGCAAAACGTTTTCATGTAACCTGCACCTCATAGGTGAGCAGCAGGGCTTTTTATCCTTGACAATTTCCACCTGAATGGATTCTTTAATTTAAATTTTACAGCTTTAGTTCTTTACTCATTGTGGTTCATGAAGCAATTTAAAGCAATGTAAGTGAATACAACAGAAAGCTATCTGTGCTTAACCTTGCTAGCCATCAGTAGACACAGTTCCTGATGACTGTAAATGCCTTCCTAATGAGTGATAATCAGTAGGAAAATGTCATTGCTTTAATTAATTATGGATAGTTTTGATTGTAATGAGCTAATAATTATGAACTTTCAGTTCTTGCAGAACCAATTCATCCTGGTTCAGAACAGAGTGCAGAGGCACCCAGCAAACCTAACATGACAATGAAGGGTGTATTCGAATCTTTCTTGAGCTTCTTCAGACCAATGAGTAAGTGTCACCACTGCAGCATCGTTTCTCTTTTGCTTTCCCACTTCTGCCTCACTTCCAGTCCACTCTCCTTCCGCTATCTGTCAGCATTTCATGTGTTTAAAACCCTCAGTCTAATACTGTAAAATTCTCTAGAGGCCTTGAAAATAGGATTGTTAAGTGCCTCTTTGGGATTATCACAGATTTGTTTGCATTGCTACCCTCCTGCAAAACCCTCCATCACTAGTGATGTGACTGTGCAGGAAATGCTGAAATTATGTTGAAAATTTGGCATAGGATCCACCATGCCTAGCTTTGTTGTATCTCATCTGAATTCGTTTTCCAGTCTTCCCACATACACTTAGAGAGAAAAGAGAATTTGGCACAGTGTAAATTAGAGAAGGATTTTGTCCCACACTGGTGTCTCTCCCACTTCTACTGGTTAAGGAAGGCTTCTGGCCTGTTAGATTAGACTGATCCACTCATCTTTGGACTGCTAAAGTTAAATTACAAGAACTACATTATTTCATAAAGTTATTGAGATGGAAATCACAAAGCTAACTTGCTAATATCAGAAATCAAAATAATATGAGTACAAAAAAGATTTGTTACATATAGAAAGTGCCAGCCATAGATCAATAGGAAGGAGAAGCAGAAATACTACTTTTCACTTGGTGTGCTTCTGCATTAATATCAGTATGCCTTCACCACTATTGCTCACATGTAGCCCTAAGTAAACACAGAGGACTGGTAAAGATCCTGATCCCCCCTTTAATAAACTGAACTTGGCTACCAGTAATGTCTCCGATAAGTATGAGACTGACAATACAGCAAGTCCTGGGAGAGTCGTTGGAACCAAATGATGCTTTCCAGCTGCTGTGTAACATAAGGGATGAGATACAATGTTTTATAGAAATTAAATATACAGAGATGTCTACTGTTTATAACTCTCTTACATATTTAAGCCATTCCCACAGAGTATCTCACGATTATCAAGAAATCTGCTATTAAATAGGAAATCTCAAAAATTGCTTAAATATGTTGTTCATTAACTGTATTGGATGTCATAAAAGGTTTTTCCAAGCGGCTTATTTTCAGCTGCTTGTAGAAACAAAAAAGTGCCAGAGATGGTTAGTTGCAATATGCCCTTCAGAATAAAAAAAACAAAACCCAAACAAACAAACAAAAAAAGAAGCCTTAGCTTTCTGCTGGTTTTTAATTAGAAACAGAATAGTCAGAAAATTTAGTTTGTCTTATTCCCTTACTTTACAAACCTAAGTACAAAAAAGTGTCACAATGGTGTTTAGATTCAGCTTTGTAATAGATCCTTACAGAAACAAAGCAAATTACAAAAGATTTTCTATTACATGATTTAGCTTTTCTGCTAATTTCAGTTTTAAAAGTTGGTTAGGTTTTGGGAAAGAACATACATGAATGTCAATGATATTGTTTTCTGGCAGATTTAATTGATCAAAACATGCTAGAAACACCAAAGTGATGACTTCCTTCTGTTTCACATTGTTCCTAGGATAGGCATCTTACCTAGTGGCTTTTTGTTGTTTTTTTTTTTTCTTTTTAAAGCTTGCCGCCTCAGTAATGAGCGACTCTTAACTCCTTGTCCTGTAGAAGGCCTGAACATGTCTGAATGCTCAAAAATTCAGTGCTGTCCTTTCAAAATTGGCCATGAAGAGCAGTGCTACATGCCAGTGAGAGACGGTGAGTGTGCTGCTCTGGGCTCCTGCCTCAGAACAAACCCTGCTCCTGGTTGCACAATACAGTTCATGTTGCTGTTTGTACCTTTAGCTTTCCAGGACGCCACTCTCTGAAAGTAACTGAAAGCTTGCACCTATTTTTTCGTCTATACTAATAAATGAAACAATTAATTATTAGAAAATTTTCTGGATATTGTCAAGTCCAGCACAGGCAAAGAACAAGAGCCATGCAAATAAATATAGTCACATATGTCAGTACAAAGAATGAAGTAAAGGCTTGCTTTGTTGAAAGTGGGAGTTAATCCAAAGTAGTGAGTCCATGAAAGTGCAGTGAAGAAAAAGTGAAAGAACTCGATGTATTTTACATGGTGAAGAGGAGGCTAATTGGTTGTTTAATAGCTACTGAAGCCTGTTTAGAAGGGAAGTTACTAAGATGAGAGTCACTAATTCTTCCTGGAAGAATCAGATGATTTAACAAGTGGGAATTGCCATTAACTGATGCTTAAGAAATTTAGCTCAGATATTAGGGGGGGAAATGTTCATCAGAAAGGGGATGGAGTCCCCAGCTTTGGAGGTTTTCAAGACTTGGATATAACAAGACACAACTCACGTGATCTCATGTTGGCAGTAGCCTTGCTTCAAGAGAAAGATTCATCTATGTGATCTGCAGAAGTCTCTTACAACCAAAACGTCAGTGGTTCTGTGTTATCAAATTTCAGCATTAACATTACATTTTACCTCCTTTTTTCCCTTTGAGCATCTGCTTGGTGGGCATGATTTTTTTTTCTCATATGAATGCAAAAAACACTTTTTGTAGATCCTATCTTTGCTTGTAAATCCAGAGTTGTTGTTGCTGTACTGAAAGGGTTGTATCAAATCCTAATTTTTATTATAATTTTTTTCCTGTTTGCATAGCTTTCTATAAACAGTTGTTGCTTTTCATGATGAGGTTGCTTCAATAAACTGAAAAAAGCAAATACTTTAGAGGTGTTTTATTATAGACAGAATTATTGGGTGTGAAACGACCTCTCACAATTAATCCTCCCTGTTCTGCCAGCATAGCTACAGTGGGTTTCCCAGGGGCTGTATCCAGTCAAATTTTGAATTTCTCCAAGGACAAGCAACGAACAATGTAGAGAGTTTTCAGACACAAGCAATCTTGCCAAATATTGATATTAAGTTAGTAGAAAGAAACCATAAACTAGAGCTTAATGATTTTGTTCTTTCTGGTATAATTCAGTATACCTCCATTGATTTCAGAGGTGATATTCCGATTTTTAGGATGAGCTGACTTAATACAGATATGAAACCCCAAGGTTACTTGTCAGCTAACATGAATTCACTTTCTCTTGTTTGTGCTTCTTCAGGAGCAAGCTGAGGTCAAAATAAGGCTTTGAAATTTTCCTTGTGCTTGAGCAGCTCCACATTCCAGTGCTGGGGTAGCTGTAGTTACTACAAGCTAGATAATTTTTGATTGAAGAAAGTTTTATCCAGTGTCATGCCATCAGTATTTGTTTGTTTGTTAGGGGCATATGACAGAAATTAAAGGTTTTAATAATATTCAGTCCCCACTTGGGCCTTTATATTTTGTATAAAAGACACTTAACTATAGCAAAAAGAAAAGCTGTACAGTGAAAATTAGAGCTCTTCCGCTCATTTTTAAGAAACATACTGAAGCAAGTTTTAAAATTAAATATGCTTATTCAGCTGTGACTGATTGATTCCTCATTCCAGTTAGGCTTTTATTGTTTGGACATCAATATCAAGAGCTGACTAATTTACAAAATTTTTTGTTCATAGATTTATGAGCTCCTTGAATACTCCTGGATGTACAGCATACGTCCAGAGAAAATGCAAACACTTACTGTTTGTCTTGTAGCAATCTGTTGACAAAATAGAAGCACTTAGCAGATATTAGACTCATGGCAGTTGTGTTTGTCAGCTGGTCACAGGTGCATACTAAATGGTTCTTCTCCTTGGGAGGTTTGTCTTGAATTTCACTGGGAATAAAATGAGGCCTTGAGAAAGTGCTACAAAAGTTATGAACTGAAGTAGAGAAATAGAATTTATTTGAAAGATTTTGTCTTCATTCTTAAAGCAGCTTCTAAGGGACTTTGGTTGGTTTTTTAAACTATTATTTTTTTCCCACACACAACTGTGCCCCATGCCCTGGGCTCACTCAAACCCTGGTTGCCTCAAGCTACACAAACACTTGTGCTTTTCGAACTCAAGTGAAATTTGAGATCAATTCTTTCTCATCTGAGCTCATTTCTAACACTTTTTTGCCATTGTGCGGCTGAATCATAGAATCATTTAGGTTAGAAAAGACCCTTGTGATCAGTGAGTTCAACTTTAAATTCATATGAGAGATGACAGTTTTCCTTGGCATTTACTGAAATCTTTAGGCATGAGTGTGTCTTAATGTGTAAGTATTGTCAGAACTTTGATGACAAAACATCTGTCTAAGCTAAGTGGCAACATGGCTGTGAATTCCTGGCAGCAAAGAGGTCTGTCTTAGAGGCTGATTCTGTCACCTGACCCTCAGTGTCTGTATCAGAATTATTCAGAACTAATGCAAATTTCTGTTGGCTCTACAGATGTGCAGCTGGCCATTCGAGTGATTTTGGTTACTGGAGGAGGATTTTTGACTTTAGGATTTCTACCAATCTTTTGCTGTGCCTTTTTGCAGAGAAGGTAAGTGTTAGAGCATGACCAGACCAAATTTATGGTGACAATATGGAGAATTGACATCTTTTAACTAGTGAGGGGAGAAAAGAGGTTATTTATTGCCCCAATACTCTTTCTAAAGACCTGCATATGAAAGACTTGGACTTAATCTTACTTCTCTTGTTTGGGAGGTTGGACGTAAAACACGAAAGCAGAGTCCCTCCAGGACAGACCTGGACTTACGCAGTAAGATAAGGAAGGGAAGAACAAAGTATGAGGCGTGAACAGAGTAAGAGAGCTGGGCTGTGAGTTGGGAATTAATTATCTCTAACGTTTCTAACATGCAGCGTGGGGTTTTTAATGTATAGGGCACTTTACAGCCTGCAAGTTCTATGCAAGCAGTTTAGTGTCTGATACTGTGAAGAATTTCAGCATGTGTGTATGTTCTCAGGATACAGGGAAAATGTAAACTCCACAACATCAAGGTCATTAAACTGATGGAATTAACATACTATGCTTTATTCTGCATAGGTAGTAGTTTATATTGAATGACTGGTGCTATAACTTGGTTAGTATGACAGAATTGTCTTTTTAGTGAAGATTTTTTCCTCCAAGTGTTAAACTTTTGTTCTTCTAAGATATAGTAGTCTGTGTGGGATTATATACATGCATGTATACACACACACGTAGACTTCACTAATGAGGCTGCTTGGCAGATGGCTGTTTGCTGTGGAGTTCCACATTTTGACAAAACCTGCTGTGAAAATCTCCATATTACATCTTACACTGTGCTTAACAGCTGATGCTCAGCATACAGATAGCTGTACTGAGTCATCACTGACTGGAAGCAGAAGGCAAAGAATCAACATGAAATTATCATAAATTTTCTGGAAAATTAATTAATATGTGTTCGTTTTGGGAGAATTCACATTAATGTTTAAATTATCATTTCTGTGTTTTTTCATAGCCAGTGAAACTAGGAATTTTGCTCTTCTGCTATGACTTGGTTTTTTGCTTTGTTTTTTAATGCAGTAACTAACCAGATGTTAAATGGTATAAATTTCCAGGATCATATATCTAAGTTAGAGGAATGATGCAATCCTATCACAATCTGCCACTCTAACTTTGAGTTTTACCAGTTTTAGAGACAGTTGATAGAGCTTTGAGAAACATTCCTTTAATAAGCCAAAAACTTCTCTGGATAGAAATGTTTTCAACATTACACACACAGTCATTGTTGAGAGAGTCCTATGTACAATGCCAAATCTGTACTGCAACTGGTGTGCACAAAAGTAAAAATTGTTCTCTACAGTTATCCAAAAAAAAAAAAAAAGAGGACTTCTGCTGATGAAATTTGGGATAATTGTTCAACTCCACTGTGCCTCTTCTAGAGCAAATTGCAAGGTTTCTATACCACAGCCAGACAAAGAAAATGTAAGACCATGAAATTCCTGTAAAATTGATAGAAGGATCTGAGTACTCCTCTCTTTGCCACACTTGATCAATTCTAGTTGATCTAAGTTCCCAAGCCAGTGAGGCTTTGTTACTTTCCACATCCCCATAGACAAACTGTGTTTGCCTCGTTCCAGTCGTGTTTCTCATGCAGGAAGCAGAATCTACACATCTGTTCCCTGCCAATTGACAATTTCCCTTGTGTGCTATCAGCACAGTATCTCCTGTCTAGAGCTGTGCTCTGATGATTTTGCTATGTCCATAACTGTGTCAGCCTATCTTACTCCTCTCAGTTTTGTTAGTCTTCTTTAAGAATCACATGCAAGGACAGGTAGGTTAAGCACTAAAGGTTAGACAAATGCAGGTGTACTTAAGTAGCACTGCTTTTGAATAATACTATGTAGATTTAAAAAATAGAATAGAAAAGTCTTCATTCCTGCACAGATCCTAGTACAGCTGTGGTAAGAAGCCCACAAAATTTTGTTGACTTGTTACTGGGGCAATTTCTGGTCATGGTTGCATTGTCTCCTCATCCTTGCCTGCTGGGGATGAGACAAGCAGTCCTGTGCAGGAGTTCCTCTCTCAGGAAGAGTACTGAGGGGTGTCCCAGGCCTGTGTGTGCCTTGTGTGGACTGGGCGGTGCTGGGTTGATGGTTTGGATTTATGATCTTAAAGGTGATTCTGTGATTCTGAATTAATCGAAAGGTGACATTCACGAAGAAAATGTAAGAAATAGGAAAAGCGTTGAAATGCTTCTTCTCACCTTAATCTTTGTTCTGGTGATGAATCTTATGGTGGCCCCTGAAATCAACTATAGCATTTCGAGATTTTTCACTGGAGCTAGGATTACATGGCTGAAGTCTAGGTGACCTTCTCTAAATTCCTACTTTGGAAGTCAACCAATTTCAGTTTTTAATGTGTTGCAGTCCATGTATCAATCCTTTACAAAAGATAAGTAAAAAAGTACAGAAAATTGCAAAGGAAAAAAGAGCACGTGGTGAAAAGACTCAGGATGAAGAGATTCATCGCCACTTACTGGACTGACTTAAGAAAGAACCAAAAGGACGAAAAAAAGGAAGGTAAACTAACTTTGGGGTATTCTTTTGTTCTAAGTTTAGGGTTGTTCCATTGAGTCTGTGTAGAATACTAAAGATATCAACTACCAAATACCTGCTGCCTGCCAGTGCAGTAGACATTGTCCAAAGGATCACCTTCAGTTTCTGTTGTGGTAGAGGTAATGAGTTTGCAAGAATTTGCTGTCCTGGGCTGCCAGCTGATAGCAGAGCTGTGGACAGTCTGAGATTAAAGCCCCCTGCCACTTCAGTGTTCCTTATCTCATGTGCCAATTGTAGCATGAGAAAGTGAAAACATAATGGGTTTGCTGCTTTCAGGAGAGGCAGATCCATTTACAGGCACTGAAAAGCCTGTCTTTCTGTATGGATAGGGGTGGTTTGTAGCTGAGGTATTCCCATAGCTCCACAACTTGGCATTCTTAGCATTCTTCCTCAATGCTGAAGAGCAATTGCTGCTGAAATAAATGTAATCTGAGAGTGAAATGCTATTACTTCATGTGACCATGCCAAGCTATACCCTACTAAAGGTCACAATGAAATAAAAAAGTATCAGGAAGGTCATTAGATAAGAAAGAAATATTTCAGGGAGAGTATTGATTTGGCAGAAATGTAAAGGTGTCCCTAAATCAAATTATACTCATCTTTGGGTTTTTTTTTTTCTCCCTTTGGCGTACAGGAACATCCACCTGATCCTGAAGATCAGTCAGAAGACACCAGGATTATTTGACTATCTCATAGAAAATGACACATATTATTTTAGTATTGAAGTAGTACAAAGTTGTTAACCCTTGATTATAGTATCGATTTTGCAGTAAAAGTTTTTTCATTGTAGTTTCTTGCACTCATTCCATACCTCCTGTACAAAAAAAAAACGGTAACACTGAAAGGCAAACTGCTTGTGCAACCCCTGAATAGTAAAATCGGTGTTCTTTTCATACAGTAGCATCCCTGTGGAGGGATATAAAGATAGCAGTTAAGTGTCCATTTCACCTTAGGGATCAGTCTTAGAAAAAAATTAAAGGAATGTTGTCACTCATTAGATTGGTATTGAGAGGAAGCTTGCTCTGCTTCCATATTGGATGGCCCCATAGCACAGTAGTGCTGCTCTTGCTGAGAACAGCTAATTCTTTACCAGGCTACAAAGGATTTGGGAAATCTGTTGTTGGGCAATTGCTTTGAAGATCTGTTTGGCAAAAATACAAAGCAAGAGTGTTGTCTCTGGAGTTGTTCTCTCTGCTGGGTATTGCTGCACCACACAACTTTTTTTGTTCTTAGGATGACCTGTCTCCCAAAGTAGGTGATTCCAAAATGGAATTTCTTTCCATTTCTTTGCAGTGTAACAAAAATAAAAGAAACAAATGTGTAACACTTTTCAACAGCTGAGTGCAGAGTGAGCACCTAAAAGAATGTCAGTAGAAGTCAGTATCACCCACAATAATCACTTGTGATATTTCTTTGGGGCTGTGAAGTCCATGTAGCAGAATTTCCAAAAGCAACAACTGGCAGAAATGGAGCTTTGGTCATAAGCTGGAGTATAAATATTATGAGTGATTCTTAGAAACTCTGTACTTTCAGAATTCCCCATTTAAAACATTTTTCTTAGTTTCCTAAGTCCGAAAAAAGAGATCACTTAAAATCCAAGTGTAATGTGGGTGGAATATGCATGTGGGTGATCTCATGAAGTTGTTGGAGTACTTGGTGATGATCACTTGTAACTATATGCAGGAGTTTTAATGCCTGACATTGCAACCATTGCCAGAAGCATTGTGTTACAGATAATTCGGTTGAAATTTTGCAAGCAAATGTATTACTCTATTTTTGATGTGGAGCAACATAACAATGGAAACTGAATAGGGCACGGTTTGCTTTCTAAATCTGATATGTATTTGCTCTTTTTTGATATTATTTTTATGGAAGCTGAAGTATGTATGTAGATATTTTGACAAAGAAAAAAAGAGTTCCCTGCTGCATTAATTTCAACTGTCACAGCTGAAATGTGCAAGTGACAAACCAGAGAAATCCCCGTGGCTGGTGATTATCCTTGTGGCTGAGTTGTGCTCCAGAGGAAGTTAGGCTTTCATATGGTGCTTTGTGATTTTGATTTGAAGGGCAATAAATTCCTCCCATTTCCATGTCATTGGTGGCACAACTGGTTTCAATGTCACATAGCATCCTGACAAAGGGACACACTCGGATAAAATAACTGTATTTAAGGGTGAACAATCAGTGCATCTGCAGTAACTGAATCTGGCAGCACCAGAACAAGAGGAGCTTAAGCAAAATATTTTGTTAGAGGAAGAGGTGAGATGAAAAGTCACAGCCAAATTGTGTTCCCCTTAGTGGGACAGCAGTCCAGAGCACAATGCACAAAGTTGGGGCCTGTCCTTTTCCATGCAGCAGCTTTGCTGTAAGGTATTCTAAAAACATTGAAGTTTTGCTTTTCAATTGGAGAAGACAAGAATTCTGATTTTACATTTTAATTTCTCTATTAGCTTGACAATGCATTGAATTAATAGCTTTCAACCCATGGGTATTGCTTAAATAAGTGTTCTCTGTGCCTTAGGTGTCATAATAGCTATTTCATTACTACTGAAGGTCAAGATTGCCACCTTAGGGTCAAAGCACAGATTCACAGGCCTGTGTGTGATACAAACTGTATTGACAATGTCACAAAAAGGTGGATACTTTGATCAGCTGACTGGCTGCCTGCTTACACAGAATATTCAGATCACTTGCATAAATTTATTTTGTTTTCTTGTTTTTGTGCTCCTGGACCTAAGCATATTACAGAACAATTTCAACATGGGGTTACCTCACATCTAACTGAAACATGTCTTTTCCCCAGGGCCTAGGCTGCTGATTTTATCATGTATATCAAGCTGTGTGTTACTGAGCCAAATTCCATTTTCCTTTGTCCCTTCTTTCCCTTCCCAAGAACTCGATGAGGATCCAGGTCAGCTACAAGAAGGTACTGTCATTTTTGTCAGGCTCCTCACAGTACCTCTGTGCTAGAAAAGAAGCTGCTGAAACCTGGGTGTGGTTCCCAAGTCTGCAGAAGAACCTTTCCGGCCCAGGGAGAGGGAGGAACATCTTTAGTACTAAAATCAGGAACCACAAGATGGTGCTGCAGGAAAACATTTTTCCGCCAAGGTTTTGTGCTCCGAAGAACTTCATTGATTTCTGCCTTTTATAATGTGGTTCATCAAGTCACAAAAAGGCAGATAGTGTACAACAGAGCAATGGTCACTCAGTAAAAAAGACAGCATAATACAGCACATGATGACGAGGCTTTAGAAGACTTACGTGATATACAAACCATTGCTTGTGGTTTTAGCTCTGTTTTCTCCTATTGAACTGAGCGTGAAACAAAAGAGCTCCCAGTGGAACATCCTTCTTTATCTTCACAAAGATTAAATAAGTACAAGGCTAAACAACTTGATGCTCGATAG